AGTATTTAATATGTTTACATTTTAGTACATTTTATGACTTGCATAAAGGTATTATTCTGTGTATGCCTTTGTTATATAGACTAAGTAAAGTGAGTAGGTGGGGCAAATTTGTATTATGTAACAATCCTTTTACATTGAGGTCTGCTGAATGGTCAATTTATGTAAACTGAGAACTGTATGTAGAGAAAATAAGAAAGTTGAGAATTTGTTTCGAGATCAATGCCAATATTTTGTAGATGAAAACCAGGGCATCAAACAAATAAAATGGAACCAATGTGCTTAAGTTTTTATCATGTCCTATTGAAACTGAACTCATCCAACTAAGAACGAAATTTACTATGTGAGGAAGCATCAAACACACTTAAGAAAATGAAGTCATTTATCCTCTGGGTTAAGCCTGAGTCTTAGTTTCCTTATCTGCAAAACACAGAGGGCCACACTAGGTGATCTGTAAAAGTCCCTTTCTGCTCTAAAGCCTATATTATAATCCTTTGATTCACAAAGCAGCTGAATTGATTTATTCATTCAACAAGAATTTGTTATCTGACCAAATGAATACACACTAAATCCACACTGGACGTAACTCAATTTTAAAGATACCCAGGAATGGATTTTTAATATGTCCTAAGAAAGGGAACGTGTCAAAGGAATGCAGATTAAAGTGCTTTGAAAACCCTTAAAAAAAAAAGGCAGCCAAGAAGTCATCACCAACCACCAATTAGTCATCACCATGCGCCTGCTTTTTAATCTTTATTTATTACAATAGTAATATATGTGTGTGTGTACATATAAGTACACATATATACATATATACATCAAGAATACCCTAGATAACACTACAGCATGATAGTTTTTTATAGATATTTTCTATAGTGGATCAATTTTGCAGTCATGAAAAAAACCTAAGTATTTGAGAGAAAAAATTGTAACAAAGGCTCTCCTCAAAAAAAGATATCTTCCAAGCATATCTTAAAATTACACAAAACTATGAGATACAACTACAGAGATAACCTTGTTCAATAATCCACTGACAACAGATGACTATAAAAGATTAATGCTCAACCAAGCTAATTGCCAGTGTCATGGAAGATGTCCTGCAAACATTACAAAGAAAATAATAATACAATTCACATTTATTAAGTACTGTAAGATGTGCAAAGGGGTTTCCTCATAATCACCTTGTGAGGTGAGTAACAAAAGTACTATTATTTCACATTTTACATAAAAGAATTCCTTACTGATGGCAAGTTCTCTAATGTTCCTACTCATAGATAAAATTGTACTAATTATATCAAACCTCCTAAGTGAAACTCACAGAATTTGAAAATAGTCTAACAATCCACAGCAAAAGAAAAAAAAAGGATGAAAAATACATATTGCACACTTTTATATGCAACTGCAGAGTCAAGTTAGCCCACATATACATGTGTGTCTATGGATGTACGGATGTATGGATGTATGGATGGATGGATGGTTAATCTGCCGAGCCAAGAACTGAGTAAGAAAGAGTGGGCTGGAGCACATTTGAGAGACTACAAAGTATTTTTAACTATCTAAAACCAATATAAAAGTCCCATCTCTATTACACTAATATTCGCTACTGATGCTATCTAGCAATGAATTGTAGAACATGATCTCATAAGAATCAAAATTACAAGAACTTCAAATGGCAATGAAAAGTAGACTGAAACTTATTACCAACAATAACCATCACTTGCTGGTATCATCTAAAACATCTCTAAGACACAAGTTGCCAAAAAAAGAGATGTGGGGGGCCATACAGTAAGAATGAGAGGCAAAAGATTTTCTGATTGCTACAGTGGTATCCTAGGGATATTATAAAAGGTAGAAAAAAGGGCTCCAGGGTATATATGAAAGATTTATAGAAACAGGTGGAAAAGAATTGTATGAAATGAGCATGTATGGAGGGGTTGTAATGTGCATCAGTGGAGAAAATATCCAATGGGAGTATAACAAATACAAATTACATTACACAAAAACTGTATTTGGGCTCAATTTGTAACAAAGATACTACTAATCAATATACCTGTAATTTAACTATTTTAAAAAATGCTCCTCCTTTCTCTTCTTTATAAATTCACCTCTGCATTCCGCACCAAATTCCTAGACTACATTTTATACATTAAAATCCTGAAAATGGTAAGTCATTGTGGTGGGGTCTCTGTTCTAAAGCAAAAATTATCATCTTTCTAAGCATTATTTTATTGCAAAAAGAAAAAAAGAAAAAGCAACATAGAATCCAAGGACATTTTTAAAAGTTATATCACTACCTACTAGCTAAGCCTTGAAGAGCTGAAAAAGCTAAGAAGGAACACACCATTTATTTATGCCAAGAAGTGTAGTCCATTATATATTTTAATATTAAAGCCAAAACCAAAACTTCAAACATAACAACTACTAGATATCCTAAAAGTTAAGAGATATGTACTGACTTACAAGAAATTCCTTTCACTAACTATATTTTAGTTATAACCCTAAGTTAATCTATTTCAATACCTCAGAAAATAAAGGATGAAAATTAGTTAAGAAAAGAGCTGTAGCTGTGCCTTAAGTTGAAATCATATGTCAAGGAGGTCAGTACTGGTACTTAGGAATGTCTTATGGGTGCAAAATACAAGCAAGTTATGTTACCTCTACACCTGATGCAACCCAATGGTGCATCAAAAACAATATCCTGTATTGCTAAAAGTGGCTGATCTAATTATTCATCAATATCAAAAAAAAAAATCAGTCTATATAAAATAATAACTAGTATTTATATAGTCTTTTAAGGTTTGCAAAGCACTTTACACATATTATCTCATTTTTATCCTTATGGCAACCCTGGGAAGTAGGTGCTAATCACCCCCATTTTACAGGTAAGGAAACTGAGGCAGACAGCATTTAAGCAAATTGCTCAGGGTCACAAAGCTAGTTAAGTGCCTGAAACTGGATTTGAACTCAAGATTTCCTGACTCCCAAGTCCAACATCTACTGTGCCACATGACTGCCTTTTAGTACTGATCACAAAACTTCTGGAGTCAGAAGATCCAGGAGTTCTGCTATTAACCACCCGTGTGACTGCAGGTAAATCACTTCACCTTTAGTTTCCTCAACTGAAAATGATGAATAAACACTTACTAAGTGCCAGATACAGTGTTAAGCACTAGGGATAGAAATTAAAGCAAAGCAAATAAACAAATAAGTCTTTGTGATCAAAAGGCTTACATTCTAAGAGAGGAAGACAATAAATATAGAGAAGCGGTGGCCAAGGAGGAGTGTTTTGGGTAGTGAAATCAAAGGGATGTTAATTGGTTAATTTCTAAAATCTAAAATTTTCCATCCTACTAACACAGCACTAGAAAATCTACCAACTACTTCATCAAAGCCAACTCTAATAGTAGGGGAATTTGGAGAACACTTTTTCAATCTTACTTCAACTAAATGCAATTGACATCAGTTCCACTAACTCTGAAATGAATTTCCCCTTTATTTCCAAAACATGTCACTTCTTTCTTTCACATACTTTTTTTTTTTTTTTTTGGTGAGGCAATTGGCTTTAAGTGACTTGCCCAAAGTCACACAGCTAGTAAGTGTTATGTGTCTGAGGCCACATTTGAACTCAGGTCCTCCTGATTCCAAAGCTGGAGCTCTATCCACTGCACCCCCTAGCTGCCCCTTTCACTCACTTTTAAATAATATTCACCCATTTTATTTTTCATGAAAACTTTTTTTATTGAGTACCTACCTCTGGTCATTCTATTTTAAAAAATTAAGTTCCTATTACATGCAAGGGAAAATCCCCTTATCATTAGTATATATTGTTTCCATAATATATAATAATTATATATAACAAAATAAAATTGCATAATTTATACAGAATAGCTTATATATTAATGCTAAAATGATTCTCCCTTGCATATTACATATGTACACATGTATAATATATATACATATATATAATATACACACATATGCATATATACAGAAAAAAATACATAATATATACCAGAAAATGAATTTGCTGGAAAACAAAAGGAGGTACATGCTTTACTGTCATATACAAAACATATGCCTCCTTTTGTTTTCCAATGAATTCATCCTCCTTCCCCCTTTAGATTGTCTACTAGAACTGTTTCTGTTCCCTCTGTTATATATCCCCACCTAGCACAGTGCCTGGCATATAGCCTGTGAATTCAATGATGCTGAATTGAACTAAATGTATCTCAACAGCAACTCCTATAGCATTCTGTATTTGTTGGCCAATTAATAAATATTGACTAGCAATCACATGAGTCAACAGAGGGAAATCTTTTGATTACTTAAATAACTCAAGAAGTAATGGAAAGATCAATCAATCAACAAGCATTTATTACATACCTACTAAGTGTCAAGTACTATGCTAGGTGCTACAGATATGAAAACAAAAATAGACATTACTACCCTCAAAGGGCTTACATTCTATCATGGGAAACAACAGGTATAAATAAAAGAGAATACAAAGTATATGCAAGGTAAACACAAGGTAATTTTCAGGGGACACTAGTAACTGAAGGGATTAGAAAAGGTCTTACGTAGGCAATAGCATATGAACTGACAGTAGAAACCCCAGCACCACTGACCACCAAATAAAGTAATCTGACAACCTTCGGAAATGTTTTCTTCAGACCGGTTTTAATAAGCGTATTTTATAGATGCAAAAGAAGATAACTACACTGCACACCATAGGGACAGAAAATCCAAATGCAATAAAAACAAATTGTCAGTAAGATTAAAACATCAAGCATCTAACACCACTGTAAAATACTATAGAACAGAGAATTCAAATGCAATAAAAGCAAACTGTCAGTAAGATTAAAACGTCAAGCTTATACCACCACCAGCATCCAGGTCTCCCTCATTTGCAAGTCTAACAGAAACAAAAACAAACAACAACAACATTCCCGGTTACAACCAGAGCAGAAGTATTACTAGTGAGTCAAAGAAGTGAAGTTCGTTACCTCGACGTTTTCTGTGAGGCCATACTCGGCGTGAGGATTTTCCGAAACCTACAAGACAAGACAAGCGTCAGGGCAGAGCCCCGAGCCCCGAGCCCCGCACCCCGCGCCCAGCGGCGGCCCCGCACCCCCTCCCCCCGCAGGCCCCCGGGTACCGGCGTCTGTCCCTCCAGCAGCTGTTCTGGCTCCATGACGCGGGTCCCGCAAGTGGCCGGCTCGGGACGCGAGTCTGGGGAAACAAGGAGAGCCCCGCGTCAGTGATCACCAGAGAGCGGGAGAGAAGGAGGGGTTGGGACGGGAGGGAAGGGACGGGGCCGGAGGCCCGGGACGGCCCGCAGAGCTGGCCGGGGGAACGCGGGGCCGCCCGCCCGCCTGCCCGGAGCGGCGCGGGAGGCAGCGCACAGCCCCGGCCCGGCTACAGGCGGGAGCTCGGAGAGAAAGACACTCCTTACCGCGCTCAAGTCGAACCGCGCCCAAAAGCCTTGCACCGCACCTCCGTCTCCCTACGGCAAACCGCTCGGGCCGGCCGTAAAGCAAGGACGTCGCACGAGTGCCGCGCCTGCGCAAATACCAATCCCCGGAGCCGGCTGCAGAAGGGAGGGCGGTGAAGCAAACCGTGCGTCCGTGGGTCCCCGTGACCACTCCCGCCGCAGGGGGCCGCCCCCGGAGCGTGACGAGGAATGGGTTATCCGGGGGCCCCTGACGAGGCGAGCAGAGCATGGGCCTGTCAGTGCAAAGCCTGAGCAACGGAGAGGCCTCGTTCTCCGCTAACCCTCCCCTCTCCTCCGTGCTGGGCTTGCCTCTCCCGAGGAGTTAGTGCTCTCCCGAGCACGGAAGTACTTTGAATATGTGTTGTATTGGCTTTTCTGTGCACATGTGCACGCGCGTGCATACACACACACGTACTGCTCGTTGGCAGGGACCGTTTCCTTTTCTTTAATCTTTTGTGTAACCAAGTGTGTAGCACCTAGTAGGCACTTAATATGTTCGTTCAGTTGGAATTAAACGGAATTGCTGCTAACGGAGAAAAGTACTCTCTTAGGGGAAATTCTAGACAGAGATTATCCAGCCATCTGTTGGAGCTCTCTCCTCGCCAGAAAAACAGCAGTTAATAAGTTCTCGTCTAGTCAAAAAGTGGAGGGACTTGCAAAGAGAAGTTGTATTCTGGATCTGATTCTTAGTAAAAGAGAGGAACTGGTGGTTGGGGTAAATCAAACCATCAATATTTATTAAGCGATAACAGGCATTGTGCTGAGCATGGGGGATACAAAAAAAGTCAAAACCCCTGCCCTCAAGGAGCTTGCAATCTAATGGGAGAAACAACATGCAAACATATATGTATACTAGCTATGTGAAGGATAAATTGTTCAGTGGTGTCAGACTTGTGACCCCATGGACCACAGCAGCCACACCAGGCCCTTCTATCCTGTAGTACCCCTGGAAGTCTATACAAGCTCATGTTCATTTTTTCAGTGACACTGTCCATCTCATCCTCTGCCATCCCCTTTTCCTTTTGCTTTCAATCTTTCCCAACATCAGGAGTTTTTCCAGTAAGTCACATCTTACTACGTGACCAAAGCATTTAAGTTTCACCTTCAGCATTTCACCTTTCAGTGAATGGTCTAAATTAATTTCTATTGGTATTGACTAATCTGAACTCCGTGCTGTCCAAGGGACTCTCAAAAGTCTTCTGTAGCACCACAATTCAAAAGGATTGATTCTGCAGCACTCAGCTTTCCTTATAATCCAAGTCTCACAGCCATATATTGATACTGGAAAAACCATAGCTTTGACTATGTGGACCTGCGTCACCAAGATGATGTCTCTGCTTTTTAGTATGCTGTCCAGATTTGTTATAGCTTTCCTTCCAAGGAGCGTCTTTTAATTTCATGACTGCAGTTGCCTTCTTCAGTGATCTTTGAGATCGAGAATATAAAATCTAACAGCTTTCATTTTTTTTCCCCTCTATTTGCCCGGAAGTGATGGGACCACTTGCCGAGATCTTAGTTTGGTTTTGGGTTTTGGGTTTGGTTTTTTTTTTTTTTATATTAAGCTTCAAGCCAGCTTTTATACTCTCCTCTTTCACCTTCATCAAAAAGCTTCTTAATTCTTCACTTTCTGCCATCAGAGTAATAGTGCATACATATCTGAGATTGTTGATATTTCTCTCTGTAACCTTAATTCCAGCTTTTGATTCATCTAGCCTGGCATTTCACATGATGTACTCTGCATACAAGCTAAATAAATAAGGTGACAATATACAGCCTTGTTATATTCCTTTTCCAATTTTAAACCAATCAGTTGTTCCATGTTTGGTTCTTGCTGTTGTTAGTTGACCCACATACATATTACTCAGGAGACAAGTAAGATGATCTGATTCTCCCCTGTCTTTGAGGACTTGCCATACTTTGTTGTGATCCACACAGTCAAAGGCTTTAGTGTAGTCAATGAAGCAGAAGTAGATAATTTTCTGGAACTCTCTTGCTTTCTCCAAAATCCAGCAAATGTTGGCAATTTGGTCTCTAGTTCCTCTGCCTCTTTGAAAACCAGCCTGCTCTTCTGGTAATTCTTGATTCACATGTTGCTGAAGCCTAGCTTGCAGAATCTTAAGCATAACCTTGCTGGCCTGTGAAATAAGCACAATTGTTTGGTAATTTGAACATTCCTTGGCATTGCTCTTCTTTAGGATTGGGACATAAACTGATCTTTTCCAGTCCAGTGACCACTGTTGAGTTTTCCAAATTTGCAGGCATATTGAATGCAGCACTTTAATAGCAATAGGAAATAATTAACAAAGGGAACTCACTAGAATTAAGAGGGGTTGGGAAAGTCTTCCGGTCAAGATAGGATTTTAGTTGAGACTTAAAAGAAATCAAGGAAATCAGTAAGCAGAATTGAAGAGGTCTCCCCACCATGTATTCCAGGCATGGGGGACAGCCAGAAAAAATGTCCAGGGCTAAGAGAGGGAGTGACTTTGTAGAACAGCCAGGAGGCCAGTGTCATTGCATGGCAGAGTATGTACTGGGGAGTAAGGTATAAGAAGACTGGAAAGATGGGAGTGGGCTAGGTTATGAAGGGCTTTGAATTGCAAACCAATGTTTTGTATTTGATCTTGGAGACAGGGAGCCACAGGTGGGGGTGGGGGGGAGAGGGCAAATAACGTGGTCAGACCTGTGCTTTAGAAAAATCACTTTGGTGGCTGAATAGAAGATGGATTAGAGTGGAGAGAGACTTGATACAGGCAGACCAACCAGCAAGCTATTGTAATAGCCAAGACAGGAAGTGATGAGGGCGTGCACTAGAGTAGGCAGTGTCAGAGAAGGGGAGGTATTAGAAAGATGTTGCAAAGGTGAGATTGATAGACCTAGGCATGAGTGATAGGAGTAGAGGATGAGGAACTGGGAGGATGGTATCACCCTTTATAGTAATAGAGTAGGTAGGGGGGAGATGAGGTTTAGGGGAAAAATAATGAGTTGCAAAAATGTTTAGTTTAAAATGTTTACTGGACAGTTCAAAATTCTGAAGGGCAGTTAGAGATGCAAGATTGGAGGTTAGCAGAGAGATTGGGGCAGGATAGGTAGATTTGAGAATCATCAGCATAAAGATAGTAATTAAATCCATGGGAGCTGATGAAATCACTAAGTGAAGTAATATAGAGGGGAGAAGGACTAGGACAGAACCCTGAGGGACATCTACAGTTAGAAGATATGATCTGGATGAAGATTTAGCAAAGGAGACTGAGAAGGGGAGGTCCAATAGATAAGAGGAGAACCAGGAGAGAGGTATCTTGAAAACCTAGAAAGAAGAAAGTATCAAGGAGGAGAGGGCATTCAACAGTGTCAAAAGCTGCAAAGAGGTCAAGGATAGTAAAGATTGAGAAAAGGCCAGCAATCATAGAAGAAGTGCCAGCCTCATCCTAAAGTTTGTGGAGGAAAGGAAATTAGAGCATAGTCTGATATGTTCTCCAGATCAAGAGAAAGCAGATTTCAAAAGTTTCAGAGTAAAAATAAGTAGGATCCCATGCTACTGGGGAAGTCAGCCCAGAAAAGATTATATATGCTCAAAAATGTGTAGTGAGGACTTGTCTCCCACATATAGCATATACATGGGGTGTCTTTGTGGCTCATAGGGAGGCAGAATAGAATTCTCTAGCCTCTTTCTTCTTCCGACCCCCTTGCCTTTCATACCACCCTTCTCCAAGGGATACTTTATTTCACTGGGGGGAGAGGAAGCAGGAAATTGAGACTAAAAGCCACTAGAATTCTATCTGTCTACTCTATTAAATATTGTTAGTTTGGGGGATATGATTTTTCAGGTTCAAGCTAACTTCTGATTTCAGCTTCATTACATGAGGGGAAACAGGATCCCAAAATTTATATCCAAGGCTAGACTCCCTTCCCCCACAAATACCAGTACCACAATGAACACATATATAACTTAGCAAAGAAATCTTTTTATCCAATTCAATAGCAAGCAAAAAACAGTGAAAGAATACAAAGGAAAAAATATACCAGACAATATAGAGTGAAGGAGCTCTCCCATTGGGAGTGAGGTAACTCACCTAGAGAGAGAGAGAATTCCAAAAATTACCCAAGGGGAAGTTCCCCCAAAGTCTCTAATGTAGCAAGTTGGGAATAGGGACATGATGGAGACTCCTCTTAAGTTGGTTTCTTCCATTGATTCTTTTTCTTCAGCAATCTGGTTGTCCTCCTCTATCTTTTTTCTTGAAGCTACCGGCCTTCCCCTAGGAGAAAACTTGGCCCACCCCTCCCAGAGGCCCAAGGCATTGATCTTCAGCAATGAGAAGAGAGTCCCATACTTTGGGATTGGAATAACACATTAAATTTTGAAGACAAACACACACACACACACAAAAGAAAAAATTCCATTGAGGAAGAAAAATGAGATTTGTCTAGAGAGACCAATATAGATGCACAGGGAACTCACCAGCTGACATAATTTTGTTTTGTTTTGTTTTTTAAAGAAATGTACAGAAGATAGAAGCAAGTCCACAGAACCAAAAATAAAACCATGTGGCATTATTCCATTAAAATAGGATCAGAAGTGATGAAGTTTAGAAGGAACTGAAAGTGGCCAGGAGTGCTAAAGACAACAGAAGAGGAAGAGGAATTGCATTGGTTTTTTGTTGATTTTTGTTGTTGTTGTTTTGTTTTTTATCCATATTGGGAGAAAAATATGAAAGAACAGCCAGAATCTTTACTCAGAGTGTATAGGATGATAATTGTCAAGAGAAAAGGCAGAGCTGCTTAGTTCTTATTTTATTTCTGTTTTCTCTGCAAAGTAGAAAGGCCCCAGCACTGAAAGGGAGAGGACAAAAATGACTAATAGGAAATAGATATCTCACTGCTCCCTGATAACAACAACAACAACAACAATAATAATAATAGCTAATATAGCACCTAGTATGTACCAGACACTGTACTAAATGCTTTACAATTATTATCTCATTTATTCCACAACAACCAGAAGGGAGGGAGGGAAGGAGGTGCTATTTTTATCCCTTTTTTACAGGTT